AAGAAAGAAAAAAAATACTCTGTATTTTCTTGCTTCCCTCTCCCACTCTGAATGATTTAAATGTCTTCTTTTACAATTTTGTGTTTATTTTGTTTGTAATTCATGAGTTATCACCTTTCCAAATGTGAGTTTCTCATTTTTGTAGCATCCTGCTGCTTTTTTTATTTAGAGTAGACCTATCAGTATTTCTTTTAGCATGGGTTTAGTGTTGCTAAACTCCTTTAGTTTTTGCTTGTCTGTGAAATTCTTTTTCTCTCCTTCTATCCTAAAGGATAGCCTTGCTGGATAAAGTATCCTGGGCTGAATCTTTTTTCATTCAGGACTTTGAATATATCTTGCCACTCCCTTCAGGCCTATAGTGTTTGTGTAGAGAAATCAGCTGAGAGCCTTATGGGGGTTCCCTTGTAACTCACTTTTTGTTTTTCTCTTGCTGCCTTTAGGATCATTTCTTTATCCTTGACTCTGCCATCTTGATTATGCTATGTCTTGGTGTGTGTCTGTTTGGGTTCTTCCTGTTTGGGACCCTCTGAGCCTCCTGTACTTGGATATCTGATTCCTTTAGGTTTGGGAAGTTTTCAGTCATGATTTCTTCCAATATCTTTTCAATCCCCTTTGATCTTTCTTCCTCTTCTGGAACCCCTATTATGCATAGATTGGCATGCTTTATATTATCCCATAGGTCCCTTATGTTGTTTTCATTGTTTTTTATTTGTTTTTCTCTCAGCTGTTCTGATTGGGTGTTTTCTGTTGTCCTGTCTTCTAGGTCACTTATTTGTTCCTCTGCATTATCTAGCCTGCTTTGCACAGCCTTTAGATCAGTTCTCATCTCAGCCAATGAGTTTACTAATTCTTACTTAGCTCTTTTTTATAGCTTCAATTTCATTTTTGACATATTTTATGTCTCTAAACACTACCTCCTTTAGTTCCTTCAGTAACTTTTTTTAAATCCTCAAAAATGTGGCATTAGGAAGGAAAGAGCTTGGAAATTTAAAAAAAAAGTAATTACCTATAAAGCGCTTTGAATGAGATACTGTGGCATTCTAGCAGGGATTTTAGAACTGTATGATATTATATTCTTTATCAAACAAAATACAGCAGCCCAGAAGGATAGGCAGTGCTATGAACATGTTTCAAGGAAGTGCCAGGGAGGATGTCACATGTCTTCTTTTCCAATTATTTAGGGACTGAGTTTTGCTCCATCTGGGGTCACTGGTCCTATTCTGGAACCGTGTCAGCTCACCACATCGGGTGACGTTTTATCCTCCCCAAACATGGCAAGAAACTCTACAATCTGAGAGAATCCTGCTGATGCCAACCTGCAACCTACGTTCTCTTCCTCCCACAGCAGCTGGAAATCCTTCCCTGAAGTGCCAGTGATTCTTGTGTGCAAGGCGGTGATGTCTAAAGACACGGCTCCTTAGGGAGAGGCTGTACCTCCAAGGCATGTGTGTGTGTGTGTGTGTGTGTGTGTGTGTGTGTGTGTAGGTATGTGTGTAATATTAAATATACACCATTTAATATTTTATGTTAAATACATTCATATAACCTGTATTAAATAGAATGCTATTATATATGTTATTATACATATAAATATATATAAATTTTGTTTAACAATTGTAATTTATTCCTGAAACCATATGGAAAGAAAAATAATTCAGTATTTTTGGTGGGGGGAAGTAATTAGGTTTATTGACTGATTTGTTTGTTTGTCTAAGTGGCAGTACTGAACCCAGGACCCTGTGCCTGCTAAGCAAGCCCTCTACCACTGAGCTCCCCCTCCCCCAACAATAATTCAATTTTTTTAAATAGGAAAAATTGTATGACTTTATCCCAGCCCAAGATAACTAAACCATCTGCACAGGTAGAAGAATAAAGCCTCTGAACAGCAAAACACATTTATATAAATAGTGAACAACAATTTGAAAGTAAACAAACGGTACATAAAATGAAGGGCAATGACGTTTTACGTCCTAATGCTTCTTCCTCTTCCTACACTGTTTTTTTTCCAAAACCAACCTTATGGACACTCACAGTGGTTCAGTCAGACTGTGCCCTCACCATCAGGCTATAGCACAGAAGAAACCCCTTTCGGGCAAAACAAAGGCCTACCCCTGAGAGCTTGGGTGATGGGAACTGAGTGGGTTGGGTCTGAGGTGCTGGGGGCAGTGGGGCTGGCGCTTGCTTGTTCCCAAAGCAGGGCCCCCAGGTCCATCCGCACAGGGACACTCAGTGTAAATGTGTCTGCCAGGATGATATCTGAAGCCGTCACGTCCATGGTGCGTGGAGACTGTGTCTGCTGGTTGCTATGATGTAAAGTCTCTCCTCTCATAAAGTGTGTCTGGGATGAAAAAAATCATTCTATAAAAAAAAGTGGTGTCTGAAAGGGGTAGAAGTTTCCAGGTCTCATGATGGCTGAGAGACGTGAACTAAAAGTCACTCAGAGAGGCCAGCCTGTCATCATGGGTCCCCTGTGCTGGTGACCAGGACCCATGTAACCTCTGAGGGGCTCAGGGCCACCTCCATCACAGGTGCTCACACACAGAGGACCCTGGAGTGCGGCCTCCCTGCCTTGGGTGAGCTCAGCGAGGGCCAGATGCAGCTGTGGGGCTGACACTTGGTGGCTCCAGGTGGGAAGTCCGAGGGTGTTCCCAAAGCTACAGTCCCCTGTCTGCTGGGCCCCAAGCTGCTGTCACTTCTGGACCTCACACTCTCTGCCAGGTCACTCCCCTGGGAGCAGAGGCCTGACCGGGCCTGCGTGGCTGCTTCCTCCTGCCCCGGGGTCCCAGGGCCCTGGTTCTGTGTCTGTGTGGGGTCTTCCAGTCCTTAGCAGAGCCCTGAAGGTATTCCTGCTTCTACCTGAAGGTCACTGGACCTGGCTGGGCAGCTGTCCAGTGGCAGCACCCACATGTTCCCTCAGCCCACGCATCACTCTGCTCCTGTGGCCCCAAATGCCTCTTTGTGGAACTCAGACTAATGAGCCAAACCTGCCTGAGATGGTTGGATCCCCAGACCCTGCAAGGCCCCATCCAGCCTTCTGGGGACCCACTTCCCTCAGCAGTTACAGACCCCATGGGCCCCCGATCTCATCAGCTCCTCAGGCCGTGGCAGGTGCCCCCAGGAAGATGCACTGGCCTCTTAACCTTGGCCCTCCCTGCACCCTTGGCTGCACCCCATGTTGGAATCGCACCAGGTCCTCCCAGGTGACAGCCCGCAGTCTCAGAATCTCACACAGGAGGAAGGAGCAGCTCCTCCCACATCAGCCACCTCATACCCCTGTCAGTTCACAAAGACGCCAGGACTGAGTTCTGGGACAACCAGGGCACTGGGATGGAGTCAGCCAGAAACTTGTATTTTTCAATAAACTTCCCCCCAAATCTGAATGTACAGAAAATGTGTCTGGTTTCGACGCCTGACTTCTACGAACTGTCATTAAACATGTTATTCATGTTCGGTTTCAGGAGATCTGCACTGAGCTCCTCCAGGAGTTACCTGTGCACCAACCCAAATCATCCTGTTTCTGAACTTCCAAAGGCCTCCTGATCCACATCGGTGGACCCAGCCCTCCCTCCATCCTCGTGTCACAAAACCCAGTCACCTTGAACCCGACGCCCGGCCAGCGCCTCGGCCCCGGCCCCGTCTCCACAGGCGGCCTTTCCCAGTTGTCTCTTCACTGCCTGACAAATGCGCCTGTTTTCCCTCCACCCCCTCTCTCCTCTGCATTTCCCCTCTCATTTCCCTCCATCTGACCCCACAGCAAAGCTCGGAAAGCCCCGCTGCTCAGGAGCCCCAGATGCCAGGAACCCCAGAGCTGCCCT